GCACGCTCTCCGGGGCCGCAGCGTTCATCGCCGACTTTCTGCGGGAGCTGCACGACCGCGCCGACGAGCAGAAGATGGCGTCCGTGTGCCAGGACTCGTACAAACGCACGCTGGCCGTGCACCATCCCTGGCTGGTCCAGAAGGGTGCCCTGCTCGCCATGTACACGCTCGGCACGCGCGGGGACATTGTCGCCAAGGTGAGCCGCGGTTGCCCGCCAGTCGTTTGGTCGGGGAACTCTCACCCAGCCGCGTGTGCCGGGATGCGCCAAATGCTTTACAGATGCTCTCCCACATCAGGGCTCACGGACCATCATCAGAAATCACACGGTATCGAACATTTCGTATCAAACTGCGGAAACGAGAAGAGGCGTAAAACTTAAGCTCGGGGGGGGGGGGGGTAAAGCAGCTACCTGACTTTTAAGATGCTTTCGGCTTGATGAGACACGTAAACGTTATACCTGACCATTAGAAGGTGAGTTATTGAGTTTTAAGGGCGCGTCGACTGCATATACTTGTACACCAATGTGCCAATACCAATACCTGACCGAGTATGTCATGAGACGTCACGTGCTGTGCCGACGCGGGGCTGCCTGTGTGACGCGTTGCAACACATGGGCGCGTTACCAGCTGCACTGACCGCTGTTGTGGCGTTCGCTGTCTGCTGCCGCGCGCGAGCAGACAGCGGGCCGCCGCCGGCGGCGGCCCGTGGGCAGCGGTGCGCCATGTGCCCCGCCCGGTCCCTGAGGCTCTGGCCCTGACGACGACGGCCGTTGCTGCAGGCGGTCGGTGAGGATCCGGCCGAGCGCGAACAGGGCAAGGCCACGTTGCTGGAGTGCGTCGACACCATGCAGGACGTCTACAACACCATGCAGGGATTGTACGAAGCCAACGGACTAGCCGACCTACCCTAGCGCTCTGTGGTAGAAGCAGCCGACCGATTCCTGGGCGAAGGCCAGATTAGACCACACTTAGTCTCGGGGTTTTGTCGTATTTTGTTCTTGTATGGTCCCTTATCGTTTACTACTCGTGTGTTATTTAGCTTTGAAAGGTGCAGCCATCTTGCTTATATGGTGGCACGTCTGTTCGTTTTTTAAAGACATGATGTTGGGTACTGTCATGGCGCTAAACCCAGTCGGTACGCCATTGTTGGCAGTGCTGAGCGCGTGATGTGTTCATTGAGGGTCTCGGCGTTACCTTGGTAAGTCACTTTTGCCGGGCTTTGTTTTGTTTGGTTTATTTTTATTTTTACTGGTGCTGGCGTTTTTCTTGGATGCCGACTGTCTTTAGCTGTCGTTCGTTTTCCTTTTTTGGTGAGCTTTGGGGTGTGCGTAAAGCAAAGTTATGGAGATATTTGTGTGCACAGATTTGTTTGTGTTCTGAACAAAATTTTGTAGGCCATATACACGGGTTGCTGGCCGCTGGCCCGAAAGGCAGTGGCTGTCAGGCTGTCAGCCGTTACGCTGCCAGGGAAGGTTTCCACATGCGACTAGCGCGTCCCAAACCTCCGCCCGTGACTTGTGCTGCTAAAAAGGAAATCGGAGCACCCTGGTTACTGTGTTGAGACAACGAGGCCAGAACTTATGTTGTTCTAAAACCAGGACCTGAAGTTAAACTGTCGGAGCGCGGAGGGATTACCATTGGCTTTATTGGCGTGTCGCATTTTTCTGTGCCTACACCAGCGGTGCTTTAGGGAGCATTCCCATGTGGAAGCCGCGGGCGAGGCTGTCCGTCAGTTCGGCTCTGCCTTTCGAGAGTCGGTGCTGCGACGCGTGAAAAGCATACTACAGAGGCATCTGTAATGCGATTGGAGCGCTTCGTGTGCGACTGCTGCGTAGTTACTTAGGATCAATGGCTGTGTAGATGGCCTGCGTATCATCTGCGTACACCGCCACCTCCAACAGCGAAAGCACAGCACAGCAACTAGTCCAATTAGCTGTAGCCCCCCGCTCTCTTGTTTCCGGTGGGGCCATTCCGTGTCTGGAGTCTGGAGCAGGGCACGGTGCCGAGAGCAGACCCACCATGACTTGGCCGCCGCGGACGCCACCGGCCAAGCCACCCCGTCCGAACACATTCCTGGCCTTACGTTCCAGTGGGCGCGCGGGCGCTCATTCTAGTCGCCAGTGTAACGTGCCGCGCCCCTATCATCACTCATGTTGAAAGCGACCCACGGTTGAATGTATGGGGACGGCCGAATTAGGCGCCCGCCATGCTCTGCCGGCTTCCCCGGGCACTGGACGGGCCGTAGCTGCCATGGAGCGGAGCGGAGAACCGTCCCGACGGGTCGTCCACGGCCGGACAGCCGACAGCTGTGGCGGCGGCTGAGATGTGTCGCGTGGTCCGGCGAGGTCGCGTGTTGTCGGCGCACGGGGGACCGATGGTCGACACTGCCACCGCAACGACGTGGGACCACTTCGAGCCCGCCGCCTTCCAGCCATGTGATATTGACGAGGCGTGTTTGTCGTTCCACCCAATGTGTGCCGCTCTCATCTGCGCAGGCGCAGAACACACCAGACGCAACCCGATGTACTGTGTCGAAGGCGGCGCTGAATAAAACATGTGGCCGTGATCGAGGGTTCAGTTCCGAAGGACCGAAGTGTCCTGTGGCGTTGGAGTGGTACGCACTGCCCCGACGTGAATCTCCGAGCTAGACAGAACAGTGACCCGGCCTTGGTCAGCCGGTGCTCTCGCCTACTTCCGGCAGAGTGTTAACGTGCGACTGTTACATGGTTGCAATTCACTTTCAGACCCATAACAGCTACTAATCGTTCAGCCCATACCCAGAGCGCTACTAATCGTTCAGACCCATAACCTCAGAGCGCTACTATCGTTCAGACCATAACCAGAGCGCTACTAATCGTTCAGACCCATAACCTCAGAGCGCTACTAATCGTTCAGACCCATAACCTCAGAGCGCTACTAATCGTTCAGACCCATAACCTCAGAGCGCTACTAATCGTTCAGACCCATAACCTCAGAGCGCTACTAATCGTTCAGACCCATAACCTCAGAGCGCTACTAATCGTTCAGACCCATAACCTCAGAGCGCTACTAATCGTTCAGACCCATAACCTCAGAGCGCTACTAATCGTTCAGACCCATAACCTCAGAGCGCTACTAATCGTTCAGACCCATAACCTCTGAGCACACTGACAACTCAGACTATAATCTTAGAGCGCAGCTGGTCAGCAGATTTTTTTATATCAGTGTTACACAGCTGTCAACGCCCCTTATTCCGTCCGCAAGTCCTGAAACCATTTCCGTTCAACCCAAGCAGACTGCAAGTGCTGACATATACTGTATTGGACGAACGTCACCACTGCCACAGCACGTACACTGAAGACATACGAACACAACGTCGTAGGATGCCTGGGTCCAAGGCAAGCATTCCAAGACACTCAGGCCAGCTCGCGTTACACAGCCACCGACGACTTCATTCAGGACCGAGCTCGTGGAACCCATCGGAGCTTTAGACCAGACTATAGAAAACATCCATGCTTATAGCATCCTCGCAAGTTTACAAAAACAAAGTCTCCTCAAAGTATTCTAGATTCGCATGAACTACCATATGCTCTAGTGCCGCCGTCGCCTCTGTCCGCGGGGGAATGGAGAACTGTGCCTCTGGTTTCCCAGCTGCGCGGCTAACATTTTGGACGTCCCTGAGCGACGTTCCATTCCACGATGATGACGTGGATTCAGTAAAGTCCAATTATACATGGTCCCTGACGTTAGACCTTGTCATTGCTGCTGGCAGTCACGCACAGGTCAGTCACATTTAATTAACTAAAATGCACGGAAGTGGCAGACATTTAAAACCAAGAACAGACGGTTTCAGGCACCCACAAGGTAAAACACATTTTCTTTTCCTAGCGACCACCGACCTTAAAACGTTCTCGTGAAGAAAAGCACAACACAAGCTTCCCTCTCTCCCAAACCGACCTAATCGCGAGCCAGTGACATCCTTCACCGCCGATGTGCCCGAACCACGGCCGCACATCACGCTGACATCTACTATCGACCAACACCTACGGACAAAAAAAAAAAAAAAACGCCAAGGACGACACGCTCTATGGGACTCTGATCCCACGCGGCCAAGCACCGCTGGCGCACCGCCTGATTCCGCATCCTGCACGCGCGGGAAACGTGCCTAAATGAAAGACATCTACGTAAGCCTCATCCCGTTCAACCCTTGGCCTGCCCAACGATGGGATGCCGAACATTTGTTTCTTTGAAAATCTCCAACGTTTCTTTTCAAACACCAGGCCTTCCGAATATTGCGCTTGTGAACACGCACCGCGAAGCTTTAGCAATCACGCTCCATGTCGCCATTGTTCGTAGCGTTGAACTCATTTATGGGTTAGACCCCACGGCCACCGCAGTCTGCAGGCGTGCATGTCCGTTAAGTAAGCACGGCCGCCATCAGCGGTGGCAGTGGACTACCAACGCCTCTCGGAACTTCCAGGACAGACACCGGCGCTCAGGTCAGCCCAGAGACACCACGCTCAGGGCCAACCCAGGCAGACACCGGCGCTCAGGGTCAGCCCAGGACAGACACCGGCGCTCAGGGGCCAACCCAGGGCAGCACCGGCGCTCAGGGGTCACCCAGGGCAGACACCAGCACTCAGGGGCCAGCCCAGGGCAGACGCCAGCGCTCAGGGGTCAGCCCAGGCAGACATCAGCACTCAGGGGTCAGCTCCGGGCAGACATCAGCGCTCAGAGACCAACCCAGGCAGACACCGGCGCTCAGGGGTTCTCCAGGACAGACATGAGGACTTAGGGACCAGCCCAGAGAGACACCAGCGCTCAGGGGTCAGCCCGGGGCAGACACCGGCGCTCAGGGGTTACTCCAGACAGACACCAGCGCTCAGGGTCAGACCAGAGAGACCAGCACGGGCCAGGGCAGACACCAGCGCTCAGGGTTACTCAGACAGACATGAGCAATTAGGGGCCAGCCCAGGGCAGACACCAGCGCTCGGGGGTCAGCCCAGGGCAGACACCAGCGCTCAGGGGTTACTCCAGGGCAGACGCCAGCGCTCAGGGGTCAGCCCAGGGCAGACAACCGGCGCTCAGGGGTTTACTCCAGGACAGACAAAAGCGCTCAGGGGCCAGCCCGGGGCAGGACACCAGCGCTCAGGGGTTACTCCCGGGCAGGACACCAGCGCTCAATGACCAGACCAGGGCAGACACCAGCGCTCAGGGGCCAGCGCAAGGCAGACACCAGCACTCAGGGCCGCACACGGAGCCGACACTCCGCCCCACTCGGCGCTCGCGCCGGTTGCCCACTCAGGGATCGGCACGTGGGCAGGTGCCGGTGCCGGCCTGGCCGCAGCCGGCCACGCCACAGGCCGACGGCCGGGGCGGCGGTGGCCGCGGCGCCGGCCGCCCGCCGCGCCCCCACCAGCTGGTAGAAGAGGTGGCGGTCGTGGAAGTGATGCTGTTGGCGCAGGTGGCGCACCACCCGGCCGTCCACCAACCGGCGGCCGTACTTGGTGGCCTCTGTGCGGTCCGGGGCGAGACCGCGCCGCATCAGCCAATCCACCAGCTCCTGGCCGGTGAACACGTGCCGGTACAGCTTCAGACGGTGCCTGCGACGGAGAGGCGCGTCACGGACTGCGCTCAGGCCGGGCCCGCGCCCGTGCACACGGCAGATGATGTCCAGCTGATGCCGACGTGCCACTTCTAAATAGACACACGTATCAATTGACACGATGTACGAAATCTTCGCAAGCGTAAGATGGTCTCGTTGCACGTGATCAAAGACAAGAAAGAGACCCTGGGACATCAGCCCAGTACCGTATCAACAGCAAGAAGTGAACTCCCAGGCAAGACATTTTTTACATTACTCCGGGTACTTCGAGCGAATAATGGGATACATATCAAAACATTGGGATGGCAATACACGACATTTACATCATACGGCCCGATTCTGTATGTTTATCAGACGAGATTGGTGATGCAAACAACGCCAGAAGACCGCCTTAGTGTGGCCGCCCGTGCTCCCCGCGTCCGCGCCGTACCGTCTGTCCTTGACCAGACTGCGTCGACACTGCTCCAGGTGGTAGTCGATGAACTGGTTGCACGTCTGCCGCGTCTCCGGCTCCAGGTCAGCCATGTCCGGCAGGTGAACGGCATCGGAGCCCCACAGCAGACGGCGCCACCTGCGCGGCAGACACGCAAGTACACAGGCGGCAACGGCGGCGGCCGCACACCAGGCCCTCAGTCGCAGCCGCTGGGCACCAGATCAACTGCCGCTAGACACGCGTGGGACGCCGCGGCTCGCGTTCCCACTCCAACCCATCGCCCATCCCCTCTTTTTCAGCTTGCAGCGTATCAAGAGCCACCCCATCCCAATGCGTGTCCAGTCTGTCTCGTCTCGTCCCGTGTCCGCGCCCGTGTCCGTGTCCGTGTCCACGTCCGTGTCCGTGTCCGTTCCGTCCCGCCCCGTTTGCTCACCATTGCACCACCGGCAGAACGATTAGCTCGTTGTCGAGGCCAAACAGCAGGAACACGAACACGCCCTGGCCGAAGTTCAGCGCGCCGTCCAGGAAGTCGACCACGACGTATACGCCGGTCATCGTGTCCATGACGAGATTCCACACAGAAAGGAACAGACCCTACGGCAAACAGGCATCGTAGCGATCACGAGGGTCCAGATGATTGGTAACAGTGTACCAAGCCATGTCTACGAGCAGGCCACATGGTAGAAAAAGTACCTAAGTTCTTATTCCGACAATACATATGCCAGCACCTGCGGCAATACACGACCACCACCTGCAGGTGCTGGTTGGACGAAGCTATCAAGTAAGCAAGTTCAAGATATATACAACCCAAATCATAATACTATTCGATGAAACTCGAATCGTGACTAATCACTGCTAGCATACAAACTTCGAGGTCATTGTACCAAAAAAGGAGCTTTGGGCTCTTCTTCCTTGCACCAAGTGAAAAATTGATATTTCTTTCACAACCTTGCTTGCTCAGCGGTAAAGTTGTACAGGTTTCGAGGCGCTGATTCTGTTTGGAGTAAAAAGCTGCGGGATTGAAGGTTGACAGTAGTCGCAAAGCTGCCGACTGCTCTCTTTTGATACACCCGCCGGCCCCCTGCAACGGCACCGAGGTGCAGCCATGCGGACTAATCTGGCTGCCGGCGGCGCCACCCACCACGATCATGGAGAGGCTGAGCAGCAGGAGCACGAGCACGTGTTTGGTGATCTGCAGCTGATCCTCGGCCTCGCACGGCGAGCCCAGCTCCGCCTCCTCTTGGCTGTAGTAGTTCCGCACGATCTCCCTGCCGCCACCACGCCGGAACGTCACGACGCAGCGACAAATGAAACACCTACGGCTCAGGCGCCTCGACAACGTGTTAGTTCTCGTCCCGACAGTCGATGCGTCCACATTGGCACACGCCGCTGTCATGGCCGATACACGGGATACGGACGTGGTGACGAACGTTGGACATGAGCCAGCAGAAACACCTCGACAGCATCGACAAGGTACAGTTGGAATCATTCCGCAGAGCGAACTGGGAGCATCTACAATATAGCGACGGGAAACACTGGGTGCACCTGTAATGTCTCGACAGGATTAACTGGGTGCATCTGCAATGACTTAAGAAATTGGACCGACCAAGGCAGCCACATGACTTCCTGTTTGTCGTGTTATCTTTTGCTTTGCAAGGAGTAAATTCTTTTGCCTTTAATAACTCTGCAAAGTTTTCGTCTTTTCACACGCCTGCCTGGAGACGGAAGAGCAGCTACTTTTCCAATTTCGGGAACAGTTCCTGAACTGAGTCAGGCAAACCCGCCGACAATGTGCGCCTTTTTAGGGCAAGTTACGTCAATGAGTTATCCCGTCATCCCGCGGCGGCGGCGGCGGCGGCGGCGGCGGCGGCAGGCCGGCCGGACCCACCTGCACAGCTGGCGCGTGTTGGGGTCGCACGGCCGCTGACCGGTGCAGGTGGCCGGCGCGCTCAACGACGTCTGGCCGTCCTGCACCAGCTCCTCGATGTCATCCACTGCGGCGCGGGCGGCCTCGTCAGATGCGACGCCACCGCCCAGCCCCGGACCGCAGCACGGCCGCACAGGTGGACACCACAACCCACTCGTGCCAGCCTGCCCTCTCCCCCCCCCCCCCCCCCATACACACACGCGCGAAGTGCGTCGCATCGAAGGACCGATACCTCGACGCCTGACGTGACTCTCTCCACACCTCCGCTCGTTTTTGGAGACGGAGTTCACGCTCTGACAAGCCAGTGCGTGTCAGTGTCAATCTGTCATTTTTTCACGCGTCAACCTTTGAACCGTAACGACATTCGTCGGCATTTCGCATGAGCTCCGGTGGCTCTAACGCGAGCTCCGGTGACCCTGGCGTGAGCTCCGGTGGCCCCGGCGTGAGCTCCGGCGGCTCTGGCGTTGGCTACGGTAGGCGGTATGAGCTCCGGTGCGCGAGCTCCGCTGGCTCCGGCGTGAGATCCCAGCTGACTGACTGACACACCACACTCACCGGTGACGGGGTCGTGGGCCGGCGCCTCCGAGCCCGAGTCGGGTTCCGTGTCGCTGAGGACGCGGGGCGGGCTGTCGGCGCCCGCCGGCAGCTGCGCCGTGTACTGGCTGTACAGGTGGTTGTACCGGTGGTGTACCACCAGGCAGAACAGCGTCACTGGCGGAGCGGCGGCCGGTCAGGGGCGAGGCGAGACGGCCGCAACTCCAACCAGGTTGCACCGGACACCGACAAAACAAAAACCATGCAGGCAAGGGACAAACCTGACTCCGCGACCACTCAACTTTCCGCCCAAAATATGGGCCCATGGTCCGTCACACAAAACAAGCTATCACTGCTCTCCTCAGGACACCGCACCGCACCGCCGGGGAACCGGGGATCCAGTCCCATATCGCTGGGTTTCACAGCCGCACGCCTTAGTGGGGCTCATCGGGGAACGACGCGACGCGAACTGCGGCCGGGGACGCGCATCGCACGGAACCAACAGCCCGGGAACAATAACACCCCACACGACCGCACGATACAGAAGAGCAGCGGGGGCCGAGCCCGGCCTCGGATGGAGCCGGCGCGCGCCGCGGGCGGCCCGGGGGTCCGCCGACGCCACACGACTGACCGGTCAGTGAGATGGTCAGGATGACGATGGCCGTGACCGACTGGAACTGTCCCAGCTGGAAGCTCGGGTCACCCTCGTACATGTGGTGCCCGCCGTTGGAGACGAGCAGCACCACGGTGAGAACCAGTGGGAACCTGGCCAGTGGAGGGAGGGGGCCGGGGTCAGGTGAGGACCTCGCGGACGAAGAGCGGTCCAGCAGTGGCCGAATGCCACACTGGCTGGCTCTGGTTCCGTGAATCACTTGGCGCAAGTGTATCCAATGTGTGCTGCCCACTGTGAGCCCATCAAAAAGATAACACTAACGCCGGCGTGACGTGATATCATCTCGAACCGTAAATGTAATCTCACAGCGGCACATATAGTGTGTGACGAATGGCGCCACCAGAGCCCCACACGAGCTGTTCATAATGAGTGTAGCATAGAAATGTTATCCACATAGTCCGAGTCCGGGTCCGGTCCGGGTCGCGTCGGGCGTCGCACAACTCACGCCCATCCGATGGCCATGAAGGGCAGCCGGCAGCGCAGCACGAAGCACAGCGAGCGCGTGCGCAGCAGCAGCAGGGCCACAGCCAGCAGGGCCGTCCACACCCGGCTGCTGACCACGCCGACCGTCAGCGGCAGAAGTGCAGGTAGAAGGACCAGTCGCCGGACGAGCAGTCCAGCTGGGTTGACAGGATGGCTCCCACACATGCCACCGCCTGACGGAAGAGCCCACCCCCGTCACACGTCACCACCGACCGTACCGGAGCAGCACAGCACGGCGGCGACGCGGTCAGCTGGCGGGGAGGAGGGTGTCTGGCGCGGTGGAGTGCGTCAGGCGCGGCGGAGTGTGTCAGACGCAGTGGAGTGTCAGGCGCAGTGGATTGCGTGTCAGGCGCGCTAGTGTTGCTAGCACTGTAACGCGTATCACTGAGGCGGTTACGCAACGGGCCACGATGGAAAGGTGCCGGACGCATATCCGTAACACGATCAGACAGGTGGTGATGAAGTGCGGTACGTACCTGTGACAAGACCCAACAGGTGGTGATGAAGTGCGGCACGTACCTGTGACAACGATCAGACAGGTGGTGGTGAAGTGCGGTACGTACCTGTGACACGATCAGACAGGTGGTGATGAAGTGCGGCAACGTACCTGTGACACGATCAGACAGGTGGTGGTGAAGTGCGGTACGTACCTGTGACACGATCAGACAGGTGGTGGTGAAGTGCGGTACGTACCTGTGATACGATCAGACAGGTGGTGAGAAGTGCGGGCACGTACCTGTGACACGATCAGACAGGTGGTGATGAAGTGCGGTACACGTCTGAACTTGCCACTTAGTAAAAATACGCCGAACACCCAGACCTGGAGGAGAATTATACACAGTGAATATGACAAATAAAGGTCTTCAGTCGCCTTCCCCAGTCACCGAAATCACACCTGAGATTTTAAATATTTCAAAATCCATAGAAGTGATTGTACACATTCCACTTCAGAACACTTAAACATACAAAAACATGCTGCTGGACGAAGTTACATGATGGGATCTTTAGAAAGAAAGTTTTTTGACCAGTTAAGTACAGCTCACACAGCTATACGGGTATGTTACGCTAGGGTGATGACAAAATCTCGGTTTGAGATTCTGATCAAACCTTTTGACCTGACGGATTTCTGGGATCACAGCTCACGCTAAGCAGTGTTTTTTGAGTGCAGCGTAAGCCCCGGTCCCTAGTATCCGATCGTGAAATTACATGCCAACGGCGGAGTTTGGTGGCGAGAGTTTTACGTGCCGCAATGCTCGGCACGGTCCGTCCTGCCCTCTGATGTCAGCTAGCATTCAGCGCGACCGCTGCCATCGCCCGCAGAACACCCAAGTTTACGACAAATAGCGAGCTCCTAAAGCGACTCGAACCCACCCGCCCACGGTTGGGCGGATCGGAGGACAGGCGCTCTAACCCAATGAGCTGTCGGGACGGAAGGTCATACCGTGTACCTACAACACAGCACACAAACACAATATGTCCTCGACAATAGCACTCCAGTGCGCACCACGTCTGCGCCTTACGCAGCAGACGAGGCCGATGATGCTGATGTCACAGATGTAGGAGTCGATGTAGTGGATGTACTGCGAGGGCGCCACCGTCGAGTACACGGACACCATCCAGGCCGAGACGAACATCAGCGGCGCAGATAGGAACGTACCGATCACCAGCGCGTTGGCCATCTGCCAGCACCAGATGCACAGGTGCACAGGGAGGGGGCGTGGAGGGGGGGGGGGGGGGAAGAGCACAGGGCATCAGACGTCACACGCGCACTTGGAGCCACCACGGCGCCAGACGCAGCGGCGTCTGGCCAGGCAGATGCGCGGCACCAGAAGCAGTGTACAAGGTCACGTCAGGGCCTCCGAGACAGGCGCGTAAGGCCGGACTGCCTGATAGCGACTCTCGCAGCACCGCTTCAGGTCCGCCACCGGTGACTGCAAGCAGGCGCCTCGCGCGGACTTGTTCAGCCGGCGACAGGTGGCGAAGCCGGCTGCATGGCCCGACCGATAGATGGCAGACTCCCAGGGGCGGCGGCTCTCCACGGGGCAGCGCCGTGGCGGCGCGCGCCGCTCTCACCACTTCGATGCCGGTGTCGTAGTGGGTGGCGTACACCAGCACGCTGGGCGCCGTCGGCAGGATGCCGTACAGGAACGCGTAGTTGGTCAGGTCCTGCCGAACACGTCCCGACAATGGCAGCGAGCCGCTGTCGACCGGCCGCGCGGCGCGGACGGCGTACACGCCTGACAGCTGCACCTCACCACGGACATGGCCGGCGGCGGCTGCTCGCGGTTCGCACCAGTCCTTTACTAGTGCCATTCAATGCTGTACTCAGTGCACGATGTGTGCGGACGTAACAAATCGGCCAACACCCGAGTCGGTACGTCCACCACCAGCCCACCGGCATCACATGGGTGCTACTCACCGCCATTGGGCTGCTGCCGTGCGAGGGTCATGGGGGCAGCCTGCTGGTGTCGGCGGACACCACTCACCACCGTCAGGTTGGCGTTGTGCGTGGCAGGCCCCTGCAGCAGGCTCATGGCCTCCCGCGTCACCAGCGGCAGCACCATGGACTTGACGACGATCAGGATGAAGGGCACCAGGTAGCGGTCGGAGCGCACCCGGCAGCCTGGTCGTGTCACCATGTGCAGGCCCAGCATGAACAGCGCCGTGGCAGAGAACGACACCGCGAACGTCTGTGGGAGCGCCGGCCGGTGCGGTAGCCGAAGGGCCAGGTCGAAAGGGGCGGCGGGCACGAACGCCGCAGCGCGCAGACCCGCGGCGGCTCGCGGCGCTGGTCCCTCTGTCCCCGTCCAACCCCGTCGGGGACATGACGTCGAGGTGGAATGGCGCAGCGGGCCACGTCCTGGCGTCGTCCGAGCCCTGTTGACGCTCCACGAGAAACACACCTGGTCCGGCACCGCTGTTCAAACAAACAGCCCGGGACTCTAGACACATCAGCAATCGTTGAAGGCTGCAGGACCCATGAACGCCTGCGTAAGACGCCGACACGCCACGCTGGTCGCCGGCACACTCACGTTCAGAATGTTGTACAGCACTTTCGGTATAATGTGCTGAAAGATCACGTTGCCGAGGAGGCCCAGCGCCGTCATCACCACGATGGGGTTGGTGAGCACGCCACGCAGCGAGAGCAGCACGAGCCGGCAGATGGAGACCGGCTGCCGGGTCTCGCCGTTCACCGAGCTCTGATGCTCCAGCGAGAGGTGGCGTCGCTTCCACAGCTCCATCAGCGCGAAGCCGACCGGATTCAGCACACACAGCGAGACGGGCGCCACCAGGTACAGGTAGGCGACGAACTCGGGGTGGCTGTCCTTGTAGATGGCCGAGACTGTCGACGGGGTGGGGTGTCAGGGCTTGCGGCGCTTCCCTCAGGGGAAGCAAAGCGCGCCTAGTGGTGCGCATCGCCGCACAGATGCGGTGCTTGGCTGGACTAAATAAGGAGCACATGAGGTGAAGCGAAACGAAAAAAGCATCAATGGTACCGTTTGACTTAAAATACGCAACGCCAGAGAGAGTGAGAGAGTGAGAGAGTGTGAGAGAGTGAGAGAGTGAGAGAGAGTGAGAGAGTGAGAGAGTGAGAGAGTGAGAGAGTGAGAGAGTGAGAGAGTGAGAGAGTGAGAGAGTGAGAGAGTGAGAGAGTGAGAGAGTGAGAGTGAGAGTGAGAGTGAGAGTGAGAGTGAGAGTGAGAGTGAGAGAGAGAGAGAGAGAGAGAGAGAGAGAGAGAGAGAGAGAGAGAGAGAGAGAGAGAGAGAGAGAGAGAGAGAGAGAGAGAGAGAGAGAGAGAGAGAGAGAGAGAGAGAGAGAGAATATGTACATATAAATACAACGCCACAGTTGGAGCGCGAGATGGTGAGATAAGAATATATAGATATAGATATAGATATATATATATATATATATATATATATATATATATATATATATATATATATATATATGTATATAGCATGCGCAGCACTCTGTGCTAAAATGCTCAAATGCCGCCTAACAACCGATATGAGGTTGATAGACGACATTGTACGTTTTAAGAAGTGTGCTTTGATGGTCCGGACACTTGAACAGAAAATGCACGCAACATTAGGCAAAAGACTGGAAACCAAGTTCAAATATTATGTCTACGAGCAAATGTTCGATAAAACAAACGAGTCCATTCCAACTTAAAGCACAGTTACCACTCAACCGCATGGAGAGCGGGCGATCCAGTGCTTGTTTCGATTAGTTTGCATGTGCTTCGCGACTAGACCTAGGACGTGCCGAACCCCATTCAGCAGGTATTTGGTGTTCATTGTTTCCACGGCACAAAACTTTAGCTCTCTATTGCACAAATACTCAATTCTGAAGCAAACACTACGTCGCTTTAGACTTTGCTCCATCAACGTGCGGCAAATCAAACTGATGGTGTGCATGTGGTATACCGCAAGACGTGAACCAGCGACAACGCCAAACCGTGCTCCTAGCAGCTCGTCTGTCTCCCGCCGCAAGACGGTGTCCAGGCGTACAACGCACAGGCCCGGTCACGCGCGCCCGACACCCCGCGCGTACTGATTGGGTATCCGAGCGCGAAGTCGTTGCTTTGCGTGCAGAAGATGGCGTAGAGCGAGCCGAGTGAGTAGTCGGTGGGCCGGGTCACCAGCACCGTGCCCAGCAGTACGGTGCCGAACACGGCCGCCTTGGCCAGCAGGATGGCGAACAGGAAGTTCCAGTTGACCACCCTGCAGTGCAGTGAACGGCCAGGTGACTGGCGGTGCGGGGCCAGGGACGCACCGGCGGCGCGGCGGGCAGGCTCGCCCACGGCCGCCTCGGCGACAGGACTTGGAGGCCGGGACTGAGAGCCGCAGTGTCACGCAGAGCCGGCCTAACCCGGGGCACAGTCGCCCAGTCGGCACCTGAGTGTTCACGTCCACCAGGCGGGTGGACGCGGACACTCCACCCCGCCATGTTCGTCCGTTGGTCGGCAGTCACTTGGAACACCGCACGTCACGCATCAACACGCTGCTGCTGCTGCTGCGATTAACTGCAAGATTTCAACGAAGTACACAAAGGAGGACGGCTCCCAGATCGTACACAAAGCAGCGTACATTTGTGACCCCTCCCTCTCCCGCTCTCTGCCTCTAAGGGATGCGCATCGTATCCCCGATGCTTCATGTGCAAGAGTCGAAGCAGCCACCTTGCATAAAGGCATATCTTCCCTCAAATTTCGGTCACATTACGATGGACAGAACGTCATATACCACTAATAACCCATCAAGGGTTGGGATGGCCTGGTTTTACTTCTTTTGACCTCACGCGACCTGTCCAGATGCACTCCCACCAGAAGCTCGCGGATTGTCACACAAGTGTAGATAGTCGTGAAATGTGACAGCACGTCTTGCTTACTATGCAGCTGGGTGCACAAATACTTAATGCAGGCTAATCAATAGCATTATTACGCAGCTGTCTCAACAACATTTTAGGGAGGTGAATATATTTCGCATACAGCAAAAATCGACCAAGGGGCTGCACCACTCGGATGCCGCATGTGTTCAGTAGTTCTATCTTAAACTCAATCCAACAAAAATAACGAAATTTATGACACCGCACATGTGTAGGTATTGCGGGAATCACTAAGGGTACAACATATGACCTTCACGATGACCTATGGCCTACCACAGACAGCATCAGGACAACACCATTATTAAATACTGTCAGCTGGCAAAACACCAAGTTGTCACCATGGTGACCACAACACACTTTGAACCTTTCCACAGCGCTATTGATCGAGGCTTACCGCGAACGGTAAACATATGACCGGTTTCACAAAGGACTTACGTGAAGTCTAGCGTCGCCATCGATAGGAAGATAAGCGTTGGAAGAGCAAACTTGCCAACGAAAAGCTCGATTCCACGCCCTTCGTGACTGGATATTATTTTAAATCTCCCAGCCAAGTACCTGGAACGAAAAGCAGGCGCGTATCGTCAATCGAACTTTCACCAAGCACGTATAGTGTAGGTCACTGAACGCGGCGGTGTGTCCACGCATTCCCGTGGATATGTTTACCCGCAGTGCGCCACTCACACGCTGGAAACGGTCATGACCCAGACGGCACGACGGAAGCAACGACGGCGGCAACGACGGCGGCAACGACGGCGGCAACGACGGCGACGAGAACGGGACGGCACTCACCCGCAGAGCGTGACGCTGAAGCACTGCACCACGGCCGGGAAGAGCTCGTCCATGACGGCGCGGCCGTCGGGCTCGGCGGTGGGCATCGCCGAGCCGTTGGCCAGCGGCAGCGCCATCACGCCCCCGTCGGCCGCCGGCACCAGCTGCACCAGCGGCAGCAGCTGCCGACAGCGCCGGCACGGGTCAGGTAAGCGGAGGGCCGGCAGCTGCCAGCGCGTCTGTGCGGCGTGATTTATCGCAGTGCTGTCGCAGGGTCGGCTGATTTACTACACTGGCCGGCTGAGCGCAAAGCGAGCGACCGCGAGGCGCGTGCGGCGCGCGACGGGAAACAAACTGGGTGACAGCGCTCGACGGCCGCGTTAGGAACAGCGGCACAAGAAAATAGAAGTCGATGGGCCTCTGTCGAAACAGACAAGATATGAGTGAACAGTACACTCGCGAGACTACATGAACGGTGCTCCAGCGTGGTCCCAATCGGCGCTCAGTCTGTGAAGTACTGAAGCAATGTTGGCACTATTGGTTTTTCTGGCATTACTCTTGAACGGATGACACTAGCGCTCTAAGGCTCTGAATGCTTCAGAGGCTCTTGAGGGGCATCATACCTAGGCCATTCTGTTTCGCAGTTCACTGGCCGGATCTAGCTGTAGGTTTGTGTCAAATTGACGTCATCTGCGTTATCCGGTTGCTCGGTGTACACGGTATTTGCTTTCTTGGCATCGCTACACGTGCGACCATTGCGTCAAGACAATGGGCTCAAACGCGTTGCATGACGTCATTAAGCGCGGCCACTCTGACAGCATATGTCATCATAGATTAAAAATGTATTTTGCTGCCTGCACGATGTGACGTGGAAATACGATAGACGCGATGTTTTCATGCAACTTAGCAGCCAGGTCCATAACAAATGGGGTACCTCCTAAAGTGCGTACATACATGGCCCGGTTTGCAAGGTCACGCCAGGTTAATCCTTTGCTGTGATGTATACCAGGTTTAGGCTGAGACAAGTGTTTGCACGTCTGCTTCGCCGCGTTCTTTCTAGAACATTTGAAAATTTGATTGATCTCACCCGCACAGCTCATGGCTGCAAGGTAAATGATACCCTCCGGGGAAGTGCTGCACTTTCAGTCCGCTCACCCTCGCCTCACAACAGAGCACACTCTCAGAAGCGACCTAAGCCGAGCCCTTTGTCTCACATTCGCACCGCGAGCAGCCTCACGCGTCATCGCCAATCATCACCATCACCATCATCATCATCATCATCATCATCATCACCATCATCATCATCATCAATCGCATCATGGATTCTACGACAACGGCTGTCCATCAGAACGTAGCCTTAACATAGATCGGCAAGTCAGGGGCGGACAAATTAGTCATGGACGGATTACTCGGGCACATGTAACGTTTATCTCTCTGCCGTTTGGTGACGATAAATTGTGCGGAAAGATGGAGCGGTTGGTGAGGAATATCAAATTCGCATGCGCAAGCCGAAATCAATAAAAGCAGCATTCCGTTCGCACTGATATGCCGGGCCAATCCACCCCAGCGGGCGAGGCATATGCATTTCCTGCACGTCTGTCTTCGATCCCACATGCACGAAAAACAACATGGTTTACCAAGTGAGCTGTCCACTTTACCCTGTCACCTATCTGGGGGAGTGCATACCCTAGCGACAGGGCGTTTCTTTACCATCGCCGTGCCGCCTGCCAAGACAACAACCCGAGTGGATTTTACTTTCATGCTCACCAGGGTTTTCAAATCCTTCCTGGAACTCCAGTTGTGGATAAAGTGTAATGTAATGTCACGGCTACGTTGAAAGAAAACTTGAGAAACCTTGTCTTTTCGAGACGTTAAACCCGATGTGAACAAAAATGCAGCCCGCTGGTCTCTTTTGATCTAACAAGCGGTCTCGCATAAACATAATACGGACCTTACAACTGTTTTGCAATATTATGCAATGTGTATTTGAGTATTTCTCAAAGTGTAAAAACAGTAAATGCATGTTCTGCTGCCCTTCAGTCAGAACCATGTTTTGTAAATTCGGGACATGCAGTGTTGGGTAATTTGTGTTACATTCGCGACTTGAGTGTGTGATGGCTCTAATGATTCGTTGGTAGCCACTCTTTAGGCCATGATCGGTTGCAGCCTAAATGTACTGCATATTCCATTCCATTTGACTTGCTTTCATTTACCATTTAGCACTCATCATGACCTTTAGACCTCCTCACACCTGCCGAAACACATGCAATACGGTACCCCATTACCCAGGCGTGCTGTTTGACTTTGCTTCAACATCGGACACCACCCGCCGTCTGACCCTACCAACGGCACGGATAGGCAGCTTTCAACGTCGATTTCCGACACCCTCAAGCAGTTCCCACCACGCAGCAACGCGGCTAAGCCTAAAAGACAGCTTGGTCTCTCTCCACTGTAGGTCCGCAATGACCTACGGTCACGAAACTAGCTTAACCTGTGGTTATCAATGAACCTGAGGTTACCAAAGACATTTGTTGAGGTCATTAGGTCTAAGCATGCTGATTGCACGTTGAATTGGATAACCTCTCCCCCCCCCCCCTCGCCATGGGCCAAAAGGCAGCTAACTCACCCAGTTAACGTCGGGTTAAAACCAAAGACAGGGATAAGCGAGGTGGTTGCACGATTTATCTCTATACATGCAGAAAAAAAACACTGTGCAAGACAAGAATCAGGCCAACCCTTCGGTCAGTTTAAGACACGCGACATTCGTAGCCAGCAAACACACTCGCCAACCAGTGCAATAAAGCAGGGAAGAGCCGCGCCACGGGCAACACTCACAAACATGCGTTGCGCTTCGCAGCAGCGCGGGACGCCGCCGCCGCCCAGCACAGCCGCTTGACACGCCAGTGAGGGCTGGCGGGGCGGCCAGCTGGCACGGGCCTCGGGGCGGCGCGTCACACAGTGCGGTGTGAGGGGGAGGCCCGCGCTCGCGCCGGCGGCCGGCCCCCGCCTGTCCGTCACGGGAGCGCGGTCGGATTGAACGCCACGTCGGGCGGCGCGGCCGAGCGGCGTCGAGCGCGCCAAGCCGTTCCGTGGCCCCCGGCGTCGCGCGTGAGGTGTGAGGTGTGAGGTGTGAGGTCCGAGACCGGAGACCGTCATCGACGATCGCATAGTCCTAGTAAAGAGCCAACGGAGGTCGGAAGTTGGAGAAGCAACCGACAAGGGGAGTGGGACTCTCGGATACACTTGGGCCACGTCGCACTGACAGCAGGCATGCGAGGGACGCTAACGCCTTCAGCATCGCCTGCCGTCGCCAGTCCGGATGGTGTGACCAGGTCGCCGGGCCGTGTCAGTTAAGGTCACAAGGCGGCAGTGGGCGGCAAGTTTTAGCCGGGCGCGACGAAACGCAATCCCTCCCACGGACCAGTATCATAAAGGGACGCCCCTCACATACACAGCATATGCTACTCGCTGTCGACGTTAAGTCCTTAGACTGCGGGGAAGCCGACTCACAAACCCATGGAAGGTAAGCGGGCGTGGTAGAACAGCTGCCAATGCCTGGGCAGGTGACCCGTGACGGGGAAGTTGCGGAAACGACAGCTATATCATTGTGTGTGGTTTAGCGGCCCGTCGAATACGGAAACCACTTTGCGCCCTAATAAAAATAGAATGTACCTAAATCACGCGACAGCTTAAAGTCACGCCGGTCTAAAGGGGAAAAACAACCAAAAAGTGGCTGCATTTCGCAAGTGCAGCTGCATGCGTTGGAGCTATGTCGGCACTGATACCTGGATTGAGTGCCTGTAAATCACGCTGGTCGATGCTGACTAAAAATGCTACGGCTCGTTGAACGACGCGGCAGAGTTTCGCCAACCACCTGATTAAGAGGCGCTGCCGGAAAGTATACCCCTCTCACCGCATCGTGTTGACTGCAAGAAACCAACATCTGCTCGCGACCGTGACCCGCTCGCCGCACCCGTCACACCCGGGGCGCGCTGGCCGGCCAAGAGAAACGAGGGGGTCCCGAGTGTGTGGCCCAGCCCAAGCCTGAAAAAAGGCTTCCTCCGGCCCATTTTTACGGCCTGATGCCTCCCACTCACTGATGAGCAGTTTCACCTGCTTGTGGTACTTACTCGTGGCCTTCCATCTCCTCTGTCATGGTCTACGCACGCATCCCCTAACATATCTGCCGCCTCCGTGGTCAAGGGGGAAAGATGCTGGACTCGTAATCCAGCGGCACTGGGTACCAGTCCCAGAGCGGGCGCACTGTTTGACCCGACTGAAGTGGAGAGGTCAGCTGGCAACTGGCCAACTGGCCAACACGGCCACCTATGCAAACAATGCGGGATAAATACAAAAGAAATGCTGCAAGTCGCAGGCTGGTGTTTTACTAGGAAGTGGGCAGCCCTGGATGGACGCCACCTTCGCCGCCGCGTCTGCGCATTCATTTCGGGAATTCAAACAGGACTGGGAATCCACATGAACAAAACGCGAATGCCCTGATCGCTTGCAAGTTCGAGCTCGTCCCAGATGAAGGAGGCCGGGTGAGAGCGGCTGCTCGACTCGAAGATTGGGTCTAGAGTTTAAAGTGAGTTCATGGAGTCAGGCAAGATCACAACATATTTCCGCGATGACATCGCAAGAACTGCAATGCTGCGAGGATGACAAACAACTCAGCTGAAAGCACAGTAATTTACAAGGGCGGATCCAGGGGAAGGGAAAGAGGCCGTGCCCCCACCCCACAAAGGTCATGAAACGATGATTTCTGTTGACTATGCTTCCAGCGACCCGTTAACTGCACCATTACACCCAGCCTGTCGGTCACAAATTGTCCTGTTCCCCGCATATAGCCGTTCCATGCGCGCCATAGCGACCTGAACCTAAGCCACCATTCCGGGGTCGTGTCTTGCACGCACGCAAACACACACGCACGCACGCACGCGTTATCATGTTTGAGTGCAGGTAAGAGGGCGACTTTGTGTGCTAAATGGCATTCTATAAGAGCAGTGTGACCCCACCCAAATCAAAGTTTTGATCGGCTCATGGTTGTTTAAAGCGAGAGACAAAGTATCTGAATGACGTCACCAAACAAAAGCACATCCAGTTCCAGCAATGCCCTTCGAGATCCACCTTGAAAACCTTCAGAGGGCCGTGGTACAGGGACATTTATTCCCCAGCACGCTGCACGAATTTCACCTCGGACCTGGATCCTTTCTTGTACTGGCGCAAGCTTAGGTCACACGGTAGGAATGCGAATTTCCATGTTGGTTGATGCTGATCTGGAGGGATCGTCGCAATCTCATGTATCTGGATGCCAGCCTGCGCACCAAACGCGCATGCATGTCGGCCTTGAGAAGCTTCCCCGTCCCGTCAAAAAGGAGCAAATGAGCGAGCGCGCGACCAACGAGTCATGTACCGGGAGAGAAGGGAACAGCGCTACTCTGATCGCGTCATTCAACGGAAGTTTCCCACGCCTCAGATCCAGTGGTGGCCCGTCAGTTTACACTAGCACGTCGGCATAACGCAACCTATGGAACGATCCAGTTGCAATAAATCGAAGTTCCTGAGGCGAACAACGTCATAGAAACTGCTTCCCGCACCACGTACCGTATTCAGTCTCTGCAGTAAAAGTAGCGGAATCCATCTATTAAGCTGCGATGCCTCAGCCTGTCCAAACACACTTACAGCTGTCTCTCTGCGCACGCTGCTGATGGCGTCGAACACCAGATGGCGACGTAGTTGACAAACCAGACGAAATCAGCCCTGTGCATAAGACGGATCCTTTCTAAAAGGACAGGATACACCGCATGTTGCTCCTCCCCTTTTCAGGAGCACCAGGAACTGCACTGGTCACATTATCGCCCAGAAGCCATGGTGCTACCGGGATCCAAACCCGGGCTATCCAACTGGGAGTCCGACGCGCTAACCACTCAGCCATTAGTGATCGACCCGTACTCGGTGACAGTTATATCATCTATCATGATAGCAAAAAGGTACACATTGAAGACACTTCCCCGGGGAACACAATCTATCAGTTCAAAAGCACTTAGACAGGGTTCCACCGACTCAAAACACGACAAAATCTATGCTGCAGAAAGTTGGCCATGGGAGGTCCCATATGACCACGCAGGCCACACCGGAAAACTTTTGAAGAAACACCGTGTCGCAAGCGGTATCATAGGCGCACTCAATGTCGAAAAACACAACAACGGTATGCTGTTTTCGCTTAAAAGAGCCTGATATCAGTGTCAAAGCCCAGCAGGTGGTCGAGAGTGCTCCATTTTTCGAAATCCGCATTGCACCTTTGACGGAGAACACTGCCCCGAAAAAAAACAGATCAGCCGTGCGTTAACCATCCTTTCCATCGTATTGCAAAGGGACGCCGTCAGTGATACAGGACGATAGTGCATGGTATCGGAACCATTCTTTCTTGGTTTAAGGACGGGTATCACAAGACTCTTTCCATGCGTCAGGAAAGTCATCACTGGTCCAGACGTAGTTTAAAAAAAAACTTCAGCATTGATGTCAATGAACGGTCGTTCAGTTTGACCAGCGTTTCGTTATATGTTTCATCGAGCCCAAGTGCCACACTGCTGGCTTTCTTTAGTGCCACACGCAGCTCACGTCTGTCGGCTTGAGTCCGTCCTATCGTGTTCGTTTCCTCAATCGTGTTGGTGATCGTGCGCCCCGCAACTCTCAGTACTGTCACTTGAACTGAAGTGCATTTAACCAGAAAATAGCATTTTTCCTGCTCTAGACTTGACTCAGTGGGGTCAACATGCTTGCACCACCCACATAGCTTTCCCACGAAGCACGCTTGGCTGCAAGTATCGTGCGCCTGGCCTCTGCTCTAGCTCGTTTAAAATCCGTGTCCTTGAATTGCCGACGTTGGGTGTAAAGCATCACCCTTTGAAAAGGAATTATTCTGCTCGAATCGTATACTGTCTAACAGATGAGAGGCAGGCAACGCCATAGGCTCATAGGCTCAGCAGCTGAGTGCGTCATAAAGCCACAATGATGACATTGAATAACAATTATTGGCAAGTGATCTGTAACTAGATAGCTCATTATCCATTACACTTTTCACATAAGATAAAGACCTGCCTGTTCGTCGGACACGCAAGACCGTCCACAGCATATCGACTGTTGTGCGTTGTTAGGACAGCATCACCGACTAATTTGTCAACAAACGCACTTACTTCTCCTCATTCTCTTCTCTTCTCCAGAGACGAGAATGGGTTTGGGTCGTGCATCAAGGAATGGGCTTACCCCGAAGTAGAGATTGAGCTTCAATTGGCTTATGAAGAACGGAGCTCAGAGTTCTGGCATGCAAGTCATATGTCGAATGGGCCTATTCGAAGTAAGGAATGCGCTTTAATTTTCAATGAAGAACTAGCCCAGGCAGCGTCGAGCTGCCCCATCGAAGTCACGCGAACGAAGTGGATGATCCTTCGCGGGGTCGGACCGCGCAAGGTCACTCTCCCCGTGCTCCACTGGTGATGTGGTCAGACGCGCCGTCGGCCACTCTTCGCGGATGTAGTTCCTAAAGAGCCGACTTGTCTCGACTCTTTTCCATTATCATCAAGCTGTACAGAAGTATCTAAGTTGTTCCAGGGCGTGCTAAGTATTACAGTAGCGTAACAAAATGGCATAGGGTTCGCGAACATATCACATCACTAAATTGCTGAATTAAATGGGTGGATAGTAACTGACACTCCGAGCGAATACTTTTTTAAGAATACTCATATGATCGCGAGTGAGACTCTAACGCTACTTTAGCGCAAAAATGTAATTATAGCAACCCAGCCAGCCAGTGGCTGATCTAGTGTGGAATCAGGAGGTCATGACTACCCTGTTGAAAGTAAATCATCCCTCTCCAGC